AATTAGCCAAACAAACAATAATTACTAAATCTACAATGGAGTCAGAATTTGTAGCTTTAGAGTTGGCTGGCAATGAGGTTGAGTGGTTGAGAAACCTCTTAGCAGATATTTCATTGGAAACGAAACCAACACCTTCTGTGTCTATGCATTGTGATTGCCAAGCGGCAATAGCCATTGCCAAGAATAAAACTTTCAATGGTAAAAATAGACACATTCATTTGAGACATGATGTAGTAAAGCTGCTGCTTAGAGATGGAATTATATGTATTAATTATGTGAAGTCAAAGCTAAATTTGGCCGATCCTCTAACTAAACCCCTAGGAAGAAAGTTAATTAATGTTACATCGAGAGGAATGGGACTTAAGCCAAATGAGGAAATCAACAAATAATGGTAACCCAACCTATGTGATTGGAGATCCCATGAATTAGGTTCATATGGGTAATAACAAGTTATTTGTTGATAAATTAATGCACTATTGAAATTTTTGTCCTTCCTATGGTGTGTGAGTAATGCAAAACTACAATGTAAGAGAGGTTGAGCTAAACTCTTAATGCATACCATATCTCTTATGGGTAGTATATTATACTACAGTATATACTTGATGGAATCAACTTATATAAGTGTGGAATGGGGCCGCTTCTATAAGAATTATGATAAATTATCTAAAGCACTTATGAATAACTAGGCACGTGTATGGCCTATTCGCCCAAAATCACATTGAACAGCAGAAATTGTGGGAGTGTAATGTGATTGATGAAAACTATATTTCACGTAGAGAATTTTGGTTCATATAAGTTACAAACTTCATCAAAATTCTGTGACTTATGTTTCATTCTTTCTAGGGGTGGTTCATAGTTTAAAAAGCACCAGTCACGATGCATTACACTCAAATGAAATTTGGCATAGCAAAACTTCTTATAAAACCTTATGAAATATGTGGAGGATTATTAAAAAATAATATATTTCATAAGGTTCAAACATCTCACATTGCCAAGATACATGAAAGGCGAATGCCTTATATATGAAAACACACTATGGGCTTGGTACAAGAAATGAAAAGGGAGTGGGCTCGTGCGAACAAAAGATTGGGCCAAACCTTAAGAAATTTCAAATTCCCCTCTGTGTATGAATATACACGTGGGCTGTGCCCAAGTGAACTTTTGTACTTTGGCGTTAATTTTTTTATTTTTTTAAGTTTTCAGCCTTGATTGAATCATACTCAAACTCTACCTAGCTTACCTGGTTTTGCTCCAACGTTTATCTGACCGAAGCCTACAACGAATACCTGACTTAGTATACAAGCTGACCAGGTTTTTCTTTAACTCCCTAAGTCTTTTTCTCAACTCCCTAATCTAGTTTAACGTTTACCTTATTTGATGTAATGTTCACCTCACTCCATGCCTATAAATATAGCCTCACACCTTCACTCTCAATACACACCAAAGTCTTTCACCTTCTGAGCTTTCTTTGCTTATCTTCTTCACCTCTTTTCTTCAATAGCTGGATTCTTTCTCTGTTTCTGCTATTCCTGTCATCTCTTAATAGTTTGTGCAAACTATTAAGGAAGGGTTTGTTGAATCTTGGAAGATAATCGTTTTGCTCCAATGTTTATCTTACCAAAGCCTACAACGAATACTTGACTCAATATACAAGCTGACCAGGTTTTTCTCTAACTCCTTGAGTCTTTTTCTCAACTCTCTAATCTAGTTCAATATTCACCTTATTTGGTGCAACGTTCACCCCACTTCATGCCTATATTTAGCCTCACACCTTCACTCTCAACACACACCAAAGCCTTTCACCTTTTAAGCTTTCTTTGCTTATCTTCTTCACCTCTTTTCTTCAATAGCTGGATTCTTTCTCTGTTTCTGCTATTCCTGTCATCCCTTAATAGTTTGTGTAAACTATTAAGGAAGGGTCTATTGAATCCTGAAAGATAATTGTTTTGCTCCAACGTTTATTTGACCAAAGCCTACAATGAATACCTGACTCAGTACACAAGTTGACCAGGTTTTTCTCTAACTCCCTGAGTTTTTTTCTCAACTCCTTAATCTAGTTCAATGTTCACCTTATTTGGTGCAACGTTCACCTCACTCCATGCCTATAAATATAGCTTCACACATTCACTCTCAACACACACCAAAGCCTTTCACCTTCTGAGCTTTCTTTGATTATCTTCTTCACCTCTTCCCTTCAATAGCTGGATTCTTTCTCTATTTCTGCTATTCTTGCCATCCCTTAATAGTTTGTGCAAACTATTAAGGAAAGGTATATTAAATCCTGAAAGATAATCGTTACAATTCTTTTACACCGAGTTTCATACTTCGAAGGGGCAAAAATTATCCTTAAAGATAGTGATACTAAGTCTCAAATTTTCTCTTACTATTTTTACCTATTTTATTTTATATTCCTTGTGTCTCATAATTTTTGTTTAACACTTTCGCCGTTTACTTTGCTTGTGTTTATTTCAGTAAGTTTTCGAAGTTGAGGATTCATTATTCGGCTAGGTGTCTCCAGTCAACTTGGGTGGGTGGCATGGGCAATCTCTCCCCGTGTCTCTTGCCATGTTTGTTGAGTCACATGTGGCTCATTTTCTTCTTAGTTAGTTTCTTGGGATTTGCACCCATCGAGTTGAAGCTATACGACTTGGCAACATGTTTATGTCGAAGTGGGTGCTGTGTTCTGCCTATGTGGTAGTGTCTGCTCTGCATTTATCAATCAATTCTTATCATCCTTGCTAGCTATTGTTTGGGTTACTAGAAGTTTTTATATGTGTTTCTCATATCTCAGTTTTGTGTATGCCTTTTCTTTGCACTCCTTTTCTTGGTTTATCTCGTTAGTTGGAGTTTTCTTGGGTGGGAACAATTACTATATTTGTTATTGTTTGCTGTTGATTTTTTTTTTTTACTTTGCTGTGTATTTCCTTGCTTTGTCCTACTATTTGTATCGTTGTTTTTATTATTTTGTTTGTTAAGTTTCTTTCCTTTATAGGATAAAATTCCTATTCTTTTTTATGTTGTTTGGGGGTTTGCTGTGAATTTGTTTGATCTGTCATGTTATTCAAGTTATTATTATGATTGAATTTTAAATTTTGCCATTCCTTGTTGGGAAAAAAATGAGATTTTTTGGGTTGGATTTCACCTTATGTTCAATGAGAATATCATGTTGTATTATATTCTGTGTTTGGGTATTTGTTACCTGTATGAAATTATTAAATTTATTTATTAATGTTTTTCTTGTATTTATGTTTGATGGTTTATTTTGTAGATTTTATCTAGATATTTTTTATTAATTTTTTTATTTTTTTACTATTGTAGGAAACTTGAATCAAGAGCCTCAACCTTTATTGATTGAATGGGGTTTTAAGTTCCAGTTGTTGCCCTTTTAAACATATTTCTCTTTAATTGTTTATATTATCCTAAAGTTATATTTGCTTTGTTTCTCAAAAATTATTACAATGTCTTTGTTTCTATAGGTTTTTTTTACTAATTTGTCATTCAAAAAATTATTTTGTTTCATGCTATACAAATAATGCATATATTTTTTACCATGAAAGTTAAAAGTGCTTTTGTTGGTTTATCATTGGCTTGGTTGTGCATCTCTTTGCTTAATATCTTACTCAAATAGTTTCAGGTATGAATAACTATTTAGTTAGTTTTCTTATCGCTTTTTTTGTTTTGTAGTGAACTTAGAGCAATAGGTTAAGTGTTTATGGACTATATGGATTTTTTTTTATTTAATTGTTGTGTTTTTTAACATTTACCTCTTTAATGATTTGTTATGCTGGGAATTTTAGTTCAAGGAAGATGCAATTTTGCTTAATCTATGTCCTTCATGTGTTTTATGATTTATTGTAATGCATTTCATGTTATTCATGTCCCATAAATTTTAAATTGTTCTGGCTGTTATTCTATGTGCCTTGTTTTTTTTGCACTTAGAGCCCATACAAGTTGCTTATGCATATGTTTTTGTTTCATCTATGTCTTTCATGTGGCTTATAATTGATCATTATACTTTTTATGCTCTATTTTGCAACAAAGTTCAGACTACTTTTCTTGTTTTTTGATGCACCGTTCACCATTATTCAAGCCATTGAATATAAGAGTTGCTTATCAGAGTTATTATGATTTCCATTGTTAACTTCAGTTTAATCTGGATGCATTTTACCTTAATCTACTAATAATCTCTATAACTGCACCATTATTTTATACCATGGATTACTATTACTTCGCAACATTACGTGTTAAAATAATAAATATTTCATCTCCACAGCTACTTCTTTTTACTCTATATATAATTGACTGATATCAAAGCTGATCAACTTATTATTATGATACCTAACTTTTAATTCTATTTTTACCTTTATAGAGAATCTTCCAAGACTGCCTAACCATCAAAGACTAGTCTCACTAAAGACTCTTCAACGCCCCATCAATAGCAAAATATTATGGAACTTTGCTTACAATGATGCCCAACATTGCTTTATATTTTTGGTTGATAGACGACACCATGAATTGAACACTCTAATACCACCTTTTGTGTATACATAAAGATTTACGAAAACACATTAGATCATGATCCTCATTTTGGTCAAGGGCATTGTTTTTGTTAAGTGGATAGCAATGGATGTAAACAATTCGAAACACTATTTGATACTTTTTTATTCATAACTAATATTTTGAATTCATCACTAAAATGTTAATTTTTGTATATAAATAAATATATGCAAAAACGCACTAATAAATCATGATCTTAACTTTTATTCGTGGATGATGGCTTTTGCTTTAAGTGGTAGTATCGAGAGCAATAAATTCAACAGCATATCATCATCTCTATTTATTCATGAGCATTCACTTTTATCTAAATATATGCAAATGAATACATACAACTATAAAAAGAAACTATACTTTCACACATAATAATTAAGATTGTAATAATTTTTATTATATATATTTTTTATTATCCACGTTTCCATTAATGTATTTTATTTACTTCCAGCGCAACGCAAAGGTCTAATTCTAGTAGTTAAAAAAAAAAAAAAGAGAAATGGAGGCCAGAAAAAAGGGTGATCAACCCGCCATTTCACGCTTTGTAAAGCCATGTTTCTCTCGCTCCAACTCACACCTAACTCAGCTCTCCTCTTCCCTCACTGCGTAAAATTCCGCTGTATCTTTCAATTTTATTACGATTTCTGTTTTTAATTTCTATTCTAATCTTTGTTTTCTCTCTGATGTTACTAACACAGAACTCTTTTTCTTTTGCTTTTAGGGTTTCAATCGATTCTCCTCTTTAACCTTTCCTGGGATTTGCAATTGTACCAGCCTTGTCTCTCAGAATTTGAACAAAGTTTCTTGCTCAATCGGCGGCGATAACAATATTGTCAGTGGAATTCCGATTTCTTGCATAATTTTTCATAATTCCGAATTTTTTATAACTGATTGATTTATTATTTATTATAAATATTTTAATTTAATATATGCTGTTAGGCTCCTATTAATTTTTAATTTTTTTATTTTTAATTGCTACTGTGTGGCTAGGTTTGTGGCGCAACGGATAATGGCAGCTACTCGTCGAACAATGAAGGTATTGGAAATAGACATTATATAAGAAATGGAATGTTGTTTATTTATATGATTTTTTGTTTAACGAGAAATTGACTTATTGATCTGTTCTTTTGCGATTTTTAAAGGTTCGAGAACGGGAAAGAGTGAGAGTAGCGAAGGAGAATCACTTTCATCTAAAGAGTAATTACTACTTGCCTTTCTAATTTGTGTTAATGACTAATGATGGTTGGTTCATTGTTTTTGCTCCCATTTATACTATTTTTGATTGAAGTACATTGTTCATTCCTATTACCATAGTCGCCAAAATTTAGGTTACTCTGAAAGGTCTTCCATTGCTTGATGGATGTATGCGTGCAGCATACTTTTCCATCACTCTAACTCTCTGTCATTGTGATATAGACAGCCATACTTGGTTGTTCTAGGGTTGCTTCTGATGTTGTTAAGACAACATGTCATAAATTGATTGAGTATACTGATAAAGGCTGCTGGCAGTAATTTCTTACTTTTGAGTCCACAGCACTGGTAGTATTGGATGTTAGCATCAAATTGTGTTTTAAATTGTAATCTTTCTGTACTAGGTTTATATACATAGGTGTATTATTTCTTCTTCTCTTCTCTGTTTAAATGATAAATAACACTAAATGCAATTATTATTTAGTTATATGACACAGATTTTGATCATAAATGAGAAATATGCCAAATGACTTATTTTCTGTTGGAAGCATTGAATTCCCTTCTATCTTATTTGCTAGACCAACAAAGAAAATGAGGACATGTGTTAAAAGAAAGTTTTTCAAGGGATCAATCTTTGCTTCCTATGGCTGTCTCTATTGCAATAGCAGTATTAAATGATATCTTGCTTTCACATCTTGACTTGATTTGTTTCTTGTAGTTCTGAACCTTATAATGAAAGGAATGTGAGGGGTGAGAGTATGCAGATCTAATATCTTTGTTTGTTCTTGTTCTTGTGTTCTCAGTGTGTTGAAGAAGTTGAGGAGATATGGAATTTCTGGAGTATTGTCTTATGGGCTACTGAATACAGCTTACTACCTTACAACTTTTCTCTTGGTTTGGTGAGTAAATTAATGTATTCTTTTTAATTCATGAATCTTTACGTGATTTCATTTGGCATTTGTATAATATTATGGACTCTAAATAACATTCATAAATGCCTTTCTCTGGTCTTGGCATGTATAAATTATTATTTGGATTTGTATCATGTTAATGTTCTTTTCCTATTAACTGTGAGGACAAATGTAAACATTCTTCTAATCAACCCTGTATTTTTGCATAGTACCAAATCGGAGTTATGTTGCATACACAGTGAAAATGAACTATGAAGAAGAGCCAAGCTAAACCAATGTTCCTTTTTGCTGCATTCTATAATTTGGATCAAATGATACTACAAAAAAGGCATGATAACATGTTCCCACTTCCCAACAGCGTTGATGTCATCTGTTTGTTCAACATTAATGATAGAAATTCCCCTGTTTCATATATAATCATCTTACTTAGGTGCTCTGAATGCATACTAATATAGTCATTATAACAAGTAGTAACTTGGCTTGCTATTTAGGTTTTATGTTGCCCCAGTACCTGGAAGAATGGGTTATATGGCTGCTGTTGAGAGGTAGTATCTCATCCTTTTCCTTTTGTTATATATGAGGAAGTCCAAAGGTGAGAGTGGATTCGAACCTTGGACCTTATCCCTTTTAGAAGGGGTAACAACTTTTAGGCCAAACCTTGATTGTTCATCCTTTTCATTGTTTATGAGAAATGCAGATGATATGAGCACTCTGATGCCTTGCAGATTTCTCAAGGTTATGGCCATGGTTTGGGCTGGAAGCCAAGTGACTAAGCTTGTTAGAGCTGGAGGGTGAGTTAGAATTCAGATGTTTTACCTTAACTATTAGTTCAGAATATTCAGAACAGCTGAGACTTCCAACGGGACCTGAATTGGTTCTAATTTGAATCTAATTAAATCCATGTATTTATTTGTCCAACTTCTGCAATGTTAGGTGCTAGTTTTTTTATGCTCCTATAAGGTCAGCTGCATATATGTCATTTACTTTGGGGAAGGTTAAGGGAATAACTTCTAACCAACTCCATTTCCAAGTCATTGAACTAAGCTCTCTAGAACATGGTTTAATTTGATTAACCTAAAGGACCACTAGCCCTAGGATTTACTAGGGGAATTCACAACATCATAACATATGCAGAGAATAAAAGCAGAAGGAACATTTAAATATATATTTTTTCATTTTATCTTTTTGTGGGGATGGGAGGAAGAAAGGACCTTGTCCTATAGAAATGGGTGATTTCCATACACAGTGATTTGGGGGCATTCTTTGTTGATATGCAGGAATTTAGTTGATCTCTTTTAATTGGTGCTGTGGATTATGCTTTAATAACTTCTAGTAATCTTGCATATGCCAACTCCTTGTGTCTCAGTCATATCTATTCCATGCTTATTCTTGTTAGGTGATCATTATAGTTTGTTAAGTCTTCTTAATGGGTTCAGAACACTGTTCTATCTATCTCTTTATAAATGTAAATATCAAATCACCACAAGATATTTGCATTTTAAATCTCTTGTGGCCATGAATCAAGTAAACTTCTTTTGTTCTTTCTTGCATCTGACAAATGTTTCAGAGTGCATGCATTCTCTGTCAGGAACTATTTAATTCAATAGGTGCTTTTATCGCAGGGCCCTTGCACTTGCTCCATTTGTAGACAGAGCATTGTCATGGTTCACTGTCAAATTTAAGTTTGAATCCCAGGGAAAGGTATATGACATTGGAACTTTGAAATTATCCTATATTGTTCTGTTAGTAAGTGTCTGATGCTTTAAAACATCTCCAGGCTTCCATGGTGATTGTAGGATTTTGTTTTGGGCTGGCTTTCATGCTGTTTTTGGTTGTGACAGTGCTTTGGGCATAAAGCTGGCTATTTTTGGTTCTCACCAGCTTACATATCTGGTCAGTCTTAAGTCCTGTTAAATCTTAGCTGTACAATTTTGATTGCAAATACAGAAGCTTAATGTGCTTGTATAGTTGTTATATAGTGCCCCAAAATTTGAGGGGTTAGAAATGTAATGTACTCTTATTGGAGTTAGTAGAACTGCCCAGAAAGTATGCAGGTAACAAAACTTTGTTTATCTTCTATTATTCTTTTGAAAATGACTGTCTCAATGGAGATTGGGGAGATCAATGAAATGAATGTCCTACACTTATTGACTCTTTGCTCTTATTGCCATTCGCTTTTATCAATGATCTCTCCATGTATCCGAATCTGAAGACGCCCAATGCAAGGCACCATCTGCAAGCATCCCATCATCTTTGATCCCGATAAGCGTTTCATGAGGAACTGAAGTTGTTTCCATGAGGACGATGAGTCAGACCTAAAATCAACATATTTCTGAATCTGTACGAACTTGGTAGTCATTGCTGGAAGGGTCATAGCGGAAACCTAATGCCACAATGATGTAGGTTACAATCTCTGGGTTTTTGTTGGGTACCTGAGTTTAATGGCTTCCATCATCAATATGACAATAGGTGGAAGTGGGAGCTTTCTCCAAGATCACCACAACCTTGAATATGTAGTTTGCACGACCTGGTGATGGGATTCCATAACCATAATAGGACCTTGTAGTACTTGCTCATGCACTATGGTCAGTTTAATGGCTTAGAGTTCATCATGAAGATCAAAGGCGAACACCCCATATTCATGAACAAGTTTGTGGTTTGTTTTACTTTGGAGTAAACTCCAACGATATCAAGCGGGGCTAATTGGCTAAGGCCCCTCGTCTCACACTCATGTTCTGCTTGTTGCTTGTTGCAGCTGCCGACTAATTCAAGGATCCTTAACCCTCTTCTTTTTCTTCAAGGAACCCTGGATGGTAAATTTATAAACTGTACGCATGGCCAGCTCTACATCTTTTTATGCTCTTTGATGCTTGCAATCATTACCATGTTTCTGGAGAAACAAAATAGCTGATAATTGGAGTACGTCATTCTTCCACAGACATATTCAAAGGAAGCGCAAAACGAAAGGAGAACATGAAAGTCTGCTCATTAACTTTACACGTAGGGAAGGTGTGACTGGGAGAGCAGGGGGAGAATACATCTTCACACCTTCTCGAGCAAATCCGACATCAGTGGAGTGTTGCAGTTTTAAAGTTGTTAACTGTGATTAACTTGAATTGCATTAAGAAGTCCACACCGAATGAATGAATCTAATTCAGATTAAGGAAATGATGCCCTATGGAAAGTAAACGATGTGAATTTTGGATTGTTATTAACTTAGTCATGAAACGAAGATATGCAGTCAAGAACAAAATAACATCCAAGAGTGTACAAGGGCAGTTTATATGACTAGTGGGAAGGTTAGCCCATCTACCACAGTTTATGGTATTTACAACAAAGATATGCAGTGAAGAACAAATTAGTATCAAGAGTGTACAATGACAGTTTACATGACTACTGGGAAGGTTAGCCCGTCTGCCACAGTTCATAGTATTTACAACAAAGATATGCAGTGAAGAACAAAATAACATCAAGAGTGTACAAGGACGGTTTACATGACTAGTGGGAAGGTTAGCCCATCTACCACAGTTCATAGTATTTACAACAAAGGTATGCAGTGAAAAACAAAAAAATATCAAGAGTGTACAAGAACAGTTTATATGACTAGTGGGAAGGTTGGCCAATCTACCGCTCTACTGCAAGCAACAATATTTGATCAGAAATGCTCAGGCTGTGGTCTGTCTGCAATTTCCAGAAGAGTATATAGACCTGGGTCATTAGAGCTTTTTCAAAATGAAGTATTATGTAGCTAATAATATATGAAAGCAAAATAAAGACTGTGAGACACAATGTCAAGCCCACTAGGAGACGTGGGTCTCTCGACCCCTAATGAGGATGCAGGGATTGGAGAAAACTGCCATCAGGATCACTCTACATGCAAATGTTTTCAATTGAGGGGGAATTTTAGGGGCAATCACTCTTACTGTTACTCTTCAATACCTGATCAACTATAGGTACACATGATCTCAGCTTTTAAGCTTGAAAACTGTCACCTATTGTTTCTGTATGTTTCACCTTTGTTTGTTTGCTGAAAGAGTGAAAGGTGAAAGTCCAAGTTGATTCTAGGATTTTATCTCATTGTGCAAAATAAATAAATAAATAACCAAATCCATTATCTGTTAATTGATATCATAACCAAATCTAGAAAATGCTTAAATCATATTTAAGTGAACCATTAAATCCAATTGTATTAAGCGCATATTAGAGGCATCTGAAAAAATTCTTCAAACCTAGCCAAATAAGCACCATGAATCCGATATAAACACAATGTTGCAAAGAAAATGATTCCGTTTTTCAACATACACAGCTGGGTTTGAAAATCTACATGACGTGGTTGGCTTTCATTCTCTTTGAATTAGTAATATATTTGGACTTGTATTATATCTTAACATTTATTGGACGCTTGTGATAAACTTCAATACATGTTGGAGATCGTGTGGGCGCAAGGCCTAGGCAAGGTGATTTAGGAGTTATGTTCCTTGCTTTTTGTTGGGTTTGTCTTGCTCATTTGTTTTTGTTTTTTCTTTCTTCTGTCCAATGTTTGGGGTGTTTGAGGGATAGTTGAGCCTTTGTTTTCCTTTAGGCCCGAGGCTATTCAACAATAATCTGTATGAAATTTTATAGATCTTGGCTATTCAACAAATAACATGAGCTTGAAGAGTGATGAAAACAAAAGGGAAACAATAAAAACATAGCATAATGCTATGTTTTAAAAGCCTTGAAACTTGAAAGTTCCATAGTTGTGAATGATATGGAAACCAATAATACTAATAACAATATTAAGAGAATAGTTTAGGTGTGAGGAGGTGTACAGCATGATTAAAACAACAATAAAAAACAGAAGGAATTATGATATTCAATCTTAATATATTTTTAACCACCCAATCTAATCGGTATTTTTTCCTTCATTGGTTCTCTTACTGACCCATGACAACATTGTAAACTTTAAAAATATAATATAAATTTTAAAATTTTATATTATGTATCAATGATCTACATACTGATTAGTTAAGATGTTAAGACATATAGTTTTTATTTTCTTCTAATATCTTGACTGATGAGGTTGAAAAGGGAAATCTTATTCTATTTTTCCTTTTGATGATTTCTTTGAACCAAAACGAGATTGAAAAGGTACTGTAATATAAAAAGACACATTTAAACTGAGGGTTTTCTGGAGAAAAAGTGGCCATCAAGCACTCAAGAAAGTGAAGAAAAACTTTGTAAGATTCAAGATCGAAGACTTGACAAGCCTTAGTTTTCTTTTGTTCACTGTTTCTTCTTTGATTTTCTTGTATTGTTCTTGATGGTTAAACTTCTTCGGATTGTGTTTTTATTATTCAGTATGAATTAAATTTCTTTATTTAGGATTGCAGTTGAAGCTGACATGTAGTTTGGATTTTTAATACTCTCTTTCTTATGATTGATAGTATTTGAATTGTTTATTTCAATCTTGTGATTAATCCGTCTGATTGACTGACCACCAATTAGATTGGGTAACCTAAATGCAACTTGGAAAAAAGAGTTTAGAGTAAGTCATAGATGAAATAGTATACGTTTAAATTCAATTAGTTGATTGATTGATTTGTTTCGCATATAAGATATGAATATACTTTCATGTCATATGCAGCCAAGAGTAAAGTTTAAGCTTAATGAGTCTTTCTTTAATTCAATTTGCATAAGAATATAGTGAATTGGTTGAAAGAGATATTTTTATAAGCAATTCGGAAGATATTTAAAAATAAATTAAAACTCTAGATTAGTAACTCAATCCATTTAAGTAACTTTAGAGAGAGTAGAAAATCCATTTAAGTAACTTTAGAGAGAGTATAAGAGATTCAAATAAAGTGTTGAAAGGAAATTGTAATCCTAAGCTTGTTCTGATTGATTTATCTAGTTTAAATTAACGTTCTTGTTATTAGTTTAATTTCCTTTATTATTTGGTAGTTTTAATTTGTTCGTTTGAATAAGATTAAATCGTTATAATTTTAGTAATTAGTAAAATTTTGGTAGCAATTCCTTGTGGGAACAATACTTTATTTTTCATTATATTACTTGTTATCAATACATGCACTTGCATGGTAAATTCAGCTACAATACCACATTAAACATTTTTCTCTATTATAGGAGCTAAACGGCCCAAACGTGACATTATCCCAATTTTGATTCTTTGTTCTAACGAAAGAGCTATGGAATTCACTCAATAAATATTTATATATTGGCAATAAATGTAAAGCAATTGTAATTTTTGCATGTATAATTTACCAAAAAAAGTATCTATGCATGTATAATGAGCAATATTAGTTAATTTTTATATTAGATATTAGCTCTTGCTAATATAAAAAAAACAAATATCACAGGGATTTTGCTAGTTAGTGTAAGAGATAAAGATTATTAAATGTTAAATGTTAATAAATAATAGCAAGAAACATCTTATGTTCTTGTTCAAGTGGTTTACTTGTGGGTATATATTATAGAAAGAATCCTACATATATAGATCTTCAAGACACATACTATGCGGTTTGTGCATGTACATATAGTTTATTTCAAATTATTAATTGCAAAACTCAACCAAAGGAAGTATATGAAATCTGTAGATAATGAGGAAAGGAAAAAGTGGACAAGGAAGACAATTGCTTTACCCTTCCTGACTCTAATTGACTGAGTCTAAAGGAATTATATTAAGCATTATGGTATTTTAATGCTAGGAGACCAGCAATTGACAGAATGGAGTTCGTCTCTGAACTTTACTAGACCAGTGACTTTCTATAATAGTGCAGATATCAGAATGCATGCTACAAAGTTACCTCTCATATTGCTGTAATCCCAAAATGCTGTAGCTCTGAAAACTTCCTTTGGGGTTGCAGAACGTTGTTTGCTTGGTGGGTAACAACTTATTTCCACCATCATCACTTAAAGTCTTTAGACCACATGCATGGCAAAAGGATTCCATATCTGATTCCTATAAGAACAAAAGCATACTCAAATCAGAAAACTAGATATCTAAAAGACTAAAACTACAAGTGCCTGAAAATCTCATGTATTGGAAATGATACCTTCATCATCAAAAGTTTGGACAAGTCTTCCAAAGGGTATGGATGAAGCTTGTAGCAACAATTATTTATATAAGAAACAGCCAGTGCTCGAACCTGGGCAGTTTTTAAAAATGAAAAGAAAAATTACAGAACAAAAAGCAGCAAATACAATCAATATGTTTCAGAGCCAACAGAAGTATAATCATTGCACTCTGTCAAAACATAGCTAAAAACAGGTTGTTATATCCCAACAGTATCTAATATGTAAAGAGTTGAATAATTATAATTAAACCACATAAAAATTTTAAAAGAATCATGTTAGTGTGCAAAGAAGTGTGACGATCCAGGTAACAAACAGAAAATTTAACAGCAGTACACACTGATAAACGAGCTTAAGCAAATCCATCTTGACTTTAAATGCTTACAGATGTGCACATGCACAAGCATATCCTAGATGAGATCAACATGAATCTACGAAGTATGGAGATGCCTTATCCCCGGCATTTGCATTGTGTTTGTGTTAGATAGGGACACAGCTCTCCAAAAAGTGGGATGGATATGTAAAACAATTAAATACAGCAAGAAAAAGCACAGAAAATTTAAAACAGGAAAAAGAAAAAAAAGTAGGAAAAATGAGTAAGGCTGCCCCTGGTGAAGTGACATTGACTGCTTGACAAGAGAGAGCTGAGAATTTCTGAGATTCAAAAGAGAATGAAGAAACACGGAGAGCAAGGCTGGCCTAGGTGATTCTAATCTATCTAGCCGCCCCACATCAGAGGAAAACAGACAGAAAGACGCACATAGATGGGGGCTAGAGTTGGAACCAGGGAAGAGAAACGCAATGGGTAATGAGCAAAATATGCTTATATCAAAACTGGTTTGCGTCGAGCCACAAGCCTATGACACATTTTTAAGCCTAATTGGCTGATTGACATTCATTCAAATTTCTTGGAAGTTAAAATTTGAACGCTATTTAGCCTTTTGGCAAATTATTTGCAATACAATAAATAACAACTTCACCTTTTAACTAATTATATTAATCCAATTCTATCAAAAAAAATTTCTATATTGACTTAATATATTTTAGAAGACTTTTTTTTCAGTACATATTGCTTATAGTTTTAGTAGAAATCAATAAAATTACATATACATATATTAATATATAAGAATATGTACATTTTTAACTTCTGTATCCTAATTTTTTTTACAACTGTATAACTGTGTCCATAGAGTATTGTCCTTGATACAATGGTTGAAAATCATGTCTAATAAATGAAAGAGGATGATGCCAGAATGGAAAGGTTAAAGAATAATGGATGTATATGATTACCTCATTTACATAAGGCTCAATAATGCAGTACTGTAGATATGATGCCTCAGCAGATACAGTACAGAGAAAACTCCTATAAATTCCCATCCGATAAAATCTGTTGAAAAATAACTCAAAATCTTAGTTCCCTTCCACTTTGAGATTAATTTGTGAGAAAATGTTTCATACATTGCAACATTAGGTAAGCAAAGAGTTAAAGTGATATGCATCTATAAATCTTCAAGATTACCTTAGAACTTGTCGGGCAAAATGCATTTCATTAGACTTCATAACAAGAGAAGGTACACGACGAAACCAAAAAGACAGTGACTCCTCCTGCAAATCCAAAGTACTTGTTCAGAACCAACAAGGCTGAAATTAGGGATATAGACTCACAAAACCAATATATAAAGGTTACCCTTTGTTGGCTCTTAGAATCAAGGTGAAGAAGCACATGAAATGAACGGAACTCAGCTTCATTCTCATAAATAGAGTTGGAGCTGTGATTTGCTTCATACAGAGTATAAAGAGATGCCAAAGTCTTCATAAGCTGCTCCATGTTGAGATATTGCAATGATGAAATACTTGAACTGCCACAATTTTGAAGCCTGTGGTGAGATACTATATGAAATTTTACCTGTGTGATGAAATATACAAAAATTTGGTATCAGGTCAAAATTTTACTCTTCCCATTGTAATAATAAAAGGATAACCAATACAACATTCTCATAAATACACATGCAATAAAATGCATGTATCCACTTGGGTCATTCATTCAATGTCCTCCACCTGTTCTTTATTTTCATTTTAAAGAGGCATTGCATGTAATAGCAAGACTATTCCTTAAAAACTTATTGATCGGATCAATCAACTATTACATAAAATTACAACTTATTTAGGTTTTTCTTTCTATTTTCTTTCCCACTTGCCTCTTTCTTCATATAGATAGATTGATTGCTTCCAAACATTTTATGGAAATATCAACTTTCAATTCCTCAAAAAGCCTTTATATTTATCATCCTAAACTATAAATATTAAGTTTAATACTGTAATTATGCATTTAAAAACAAACAAATCACTATTTTTGACTTGTTTTAACCCACCATTGTCCTGAAAAACAGAAATTCTTATACCCCAGTCACTGTCCCCTTGGTACATTTATGAATTGATTTTCAGGATGTTACAATGCACAGAACCATGCATGTAACCATGTCTGCTATCATATCTAGTTTAGATAAATTAGTAAAGTGACCATTGAGAAACCCAATCAGACACCTAGGTAAACAACAAAGCCAACTGACAAAAGGTTCTCACAGCACCAAAATCTACATACCTACTTCCACTGCAGATTATATAGCTCTACTGCCATTGCTTTTCTTTTTCTTTTTTTTTTCTTAATTCTTTTTGAAACACACTGCTATTAATGATGATGCAAGTGTAATCTTAAAAGTAACAATATCTGAATAGCCAACTCAACATCAACAAGAAAATTACAGGCTAAATGAATTACAATTGCCATTGAATATGATGTAGCTACACTGCCATTACATGCAAGTATAATGATAAAAGGAAAAACCAAGTTCTGAAATGCCTAATTTACATAGCAACCGGAAAATTACAGGATAAATGAGCTAAAAGCATGGTATGATGATAGCAACACCCTTTCAATCCAATAGCAGGTGCAATTTTTAAGGTTCATAATGTACTGCAAATGATAAGAATGACATATAATCGGAGGCAATGTACATATAATGTTTTGGCAAATCAATCCAATCAAGAAAAGAGTATATCAAGCAGCTCAGCTCATCATACCACAACTGAAAAGGTTTAAACAAAGGGTATATGCTTCTGTCAAGAAAATTGTACCATTTTCTCATACATGCAAATTGCTCTATCATTGACAATATTCTGCATGCCAAGATCCTGCCTTATTGACCGAGTCCTATCAAAAATGAAGTCATGAACCACTTCAAAAGGATATTCACTAGAGTCCAGTAGGTTTAGAAGGTAATTTAATGTGTCTTCCAATACTGAGAGGGGCCGCACATCTGACGCTTGGACATACTTCAGTGATATAGTTCTGCAAAACTAGCAGGAGTGAGGGTGTATTAACAGCCTTTCCCATACCATACCAACTATAAAATGGGACTAAGCAATATAGTTTAGCTTCCTTATTCATCACATCATTTTCTGCATGATTGTAATTTAACTGCCATAAAAGGGCTGCATAGCATTTTAAGGTCTGGGAATTAACTGTGATGTTCAAATCAGTTGACACTTCAGAGGCATTACCTCCCCCGGACCACCCCCAACTGGTAACTCTATCTCTCCCTCTGTGTGTGTGTGTGTGTGTTTATATGATTGTGTGGGTCCAATGTGGTTAAATGGCTAACAGATATTTTCAACGAAATTCCAAGTGCAACCCAAAAGTGATCCAGGAAAAAGAAATTGCCCCCTTGTAATGCAAGTGAGGATATCCACAAGTCAAGACAACATGAGCGACTACATGAGCGACTAATAAGCATGTTGAGGCAAGTGTTACTCTCTTGTGCTCAAGCACAAAAAATTGGTAATGTAAAGCAAATGGGCCAAACTAATGCTGCTTTTTTTTGGCTTTTATCCATCACAGCCCATTGGATAGTTTCCAAACAAGATTCCTCCCTTTGGTCACTAACCACATCCAATTTAAAACCCCATGGCAGCCATGAGGTACTTTTGCTAAATGCAGTTCCTTCGATTAAAGTGTTGTAGATATCAAATTTGCTAGAAAAATTGACATACATGAAAAGATTGTCAAATCCAAAAGTCAGTTTTGCAACAAAGAGAGAGAGAGAGAGAGAGAGAGAGAACAATACAGAAAGTTACAAAACAGAGTAAACTTGCAGCCTACCACAATGTGTTTGTGTTTTGATTGTTCAACAGTTCATAACTCACTAGACTCTCGGGAACATCAAGGGGATTTTGATTAAATATAAGTAAAAACATTTATGCATTGAACACCACCAAAGCTTTAACATCATGGTTGATATAACCTGCTAGGGTCACTTTGATATGAAATCCATTAATGTGAGTGAAGACATAAAGACTGATTAGCTTTATGTATTACTATGATTTTGTATCAAGTTTCATTATGACCAATATCTTTAACATAACAAATTCCAACCAAGCTCAAGGCAAATGCCTGAATATCTACTGTGAATTCCTTAATAAATTGTATATTGAAATTTGAAAAATGGTTCAATCAAAGAAACAAAACATAAATCAAAATTTAAACACCTGAAGGACAGAACTTACCTTTTTGACAGCTAAAGCTGGAGATGTTTTCCTAGGATCTCCATTTAACCTTTCAAAAATAGCTAAATCTCGTAGCCTTTCCCGCTGAGCCCTCTCCCCCTCTGTTGTCACAATGATGAACAAGGTTACAAACAACATATTTTGAGAGCTAGCATAAACTAATCGCTACTTAGTTTAATAATTTCATCTGCAAATCGCAGTTGGAAATGAAGCTTCATAGTTTACATCATTTACTTGACTACCCAAACTTCATGAAAAAACAATTATGAAAAATAAGGGAAAACCCAAAATTAAGAACATTAAGACAAAGCTAAATTTGTTGATTTTTTGTTCTATGATAAAAATAATTGAATTTTAAGGATGAGAAATAAAAAATGAATAAATTACCAGGGCACATGAAAGGGCAAGTTCCAACTATAGAACCAACCTCTTCTCCTGCTTCTGTTTCTCCTTCTTGTTGATTATTCGCATTTGATACAGATTTCCACCTGGGGACATAGCCGGGATTTCTGGTATTGTGAGGGGTAGTGCCAGTGGTAGTTGTGGAGCGTGGAACGAAGTTAGAGGATTGGGTGGTTTTCGTTGGATTCGAAGAGTATTGTTGGGACCGGAACCGTGTAGGCCCGGTCGAGGGGGAGGCGGAGGCGGAGGAGGAAGGATGATTTCGCCACTGTTGACGGCGGCGGCCGCTCTCGTCCATGGGGTCTACTGGCCGCTACCGAAGTGCGCTTTCCGAAGGAATTAGCTCTCCTTCTCCAGAGTCGGGGTGGGTTAAATTCAAGTGATTTCAGATTTTTAAAATTTTTTTAGTTAGTTTTTAATTTTAGATTTTCTGTAATAAATATTTTCTTTGGATTTATTATTTTTATATATTTTATTAATATTAATCTACATGTTAATATCTTTTTCATTTATGTTAAAGCATCTTATTTTGCTTTATTTTTTTATTTTTTATATTTATAATTTTTGTAATTAAAATTTTAAGATAATAGTTTTCGTGTATATATATATGTTATTATCTTGGAAATTTTTAAAAAATTAATTTTAATTTTCAATTACATTAACTTATTATCTTATTAAGATTATTGTTATTATCTTACGAATTAAAAATTATTTTAATTTTTTAAAAATAAAAAATTTGATTTAATATTGGACTGATAACTAATTACTTAATTTATTTTAAAAATTAGTATAAAATTTTTATAAAAAATAATAACTTTTAAAATTAAATTTAAGTTGTTTGATTTAGTTTTTTTTAATTTAAAAGTTATTATGAAGTTTTTATAAAAAATAATAACTTTTATAATTAAACTGAAGTTGTTTGATAAATTTTTTTTATAAACTCTTTTTATAAGTTATAATTTTGATTATATAAAAGATATTTTTTTAATAAAATTTATATTATAGTTATTTTTAACATATAAAGATATTTTTAAAATAAAAATAAATTTTTTTATATTTAAAAATAATTTTTTTATATTTAAAAAAAACTCCTCAAGAGCTTTTTTTTAAATTCTTTATTTAAAAATTTTATTTTTTAAAAAAAATATTTTTAAAATTTTTTTTTAAAATTTATCTTTGATTTGACTTTTACTAGATAAATTAAAAAAAATAAAGACAAACAAACATTCAAAATAAACCAATTCAAAATTTAAAAAAATTAAGAGTAATAATATATTAGATGGTAAATTTTATTTGCTTTTCTTTATATTTTTCAAAATAATCTTATTATAACAGTTAAATAATACAATTTAATAAATAATTAGATGTAAATATTTTCTTGTTTTGTCTATTTTTGTTTTGAAGTATTTCAAAATAATATTCAAATATTATTTATAAATTTAATATATTTCATCAATTTTTAATAATTTTTTTAATTTTTTCCATTAAAAGTATAAGGTATTAATATTATTTTAAAAAAAGTAATACTTGATAAAATATATTAAAAATCAAAACACTTTTTATAGTTAAATTTAGGTATTTAATTTGAAATAATCATTTTAAAGATTAGTATGATTTATATATAATAAATAAATAAATAAATTGACTTTAAAAGTTAATTAATATTTTAAAATATTCAATTGAAAATCACTTATTTGACTCCTACAGACCAAAACTGCATAAACATAAACGTTACCGTCGAAGCGCTCGTCCCCCAGCTTCTTTACTAGGGTTTTCCAATCTGAAGAAAGCAGAGCGAGCGTTGTTTGGTTTCAATTTTCTGTTGTTTTCTTTCTCGATTTTCTCTTCGGAAGTATGGGAAAGAATGTCGTTTCTGATGAAGAAGGTGACACTCTTTTTCTTTTCGTTTTTTTTTTTTAATTTTTTTGAGTGAAAATCAAATCCCTAACGGTGTTTTTCCGGGGTTCGATTCGTGCAGATGAGTTGGAGGTCGACGAGGAGGGGGAGCCCATCGAGGGAGACAGACTGAATGACCGGGACCCCGATGACGACGATGAAGAAGACGGTATAGCTCCGTTTCGAGATCCAGTTTCTTGTTTCTGAATTGGGGAACAATTTTGTGAACTTTATCTTCTTTTTTGTTAATTTTTTTGAGGAATATAATGAGAAGGAAAAGAATTCTAGGGCTAAATGCCATGACGGGTATCATTTTTTTTCTTTAATTTTTTTTATTGGTTGAAGAATTCGTTACAGTTTTTGGTTTCTTGGTTTGAACAGAGGAAGGGCAGGATGAGTATGAGAATGATGGATTCATAGTTGATGATGTGGAGGATGAAGAAGTGGATGAAGATGAAGAGAGGGAAGATAGCGATGAGGAGAGGCGGAAGAAAAAGAAAAAGAGAAAGAAAAAGTTAATATTTTTCCTCCTATGATGATATGCTATTGCATTTCATTAATTGGCATATTCTCAGCTTTTTTTCTCTCCTTTTTTATTTTAATTAAAGAAAACGAACTTCCTTTCATATTCTCAGCTTGGAAAGGATGTTAGTTTAGCAAATTTTTGATGATGGTTATGTCGGCATTTTCAGGGAAGCTGAAGATCTTGATGAAGATGATTATGAGCTCCTCCGGGAAAATGATGTTAACGTACCAAAGGTTGTAAGCTTTGTTCCCTACCTAAAAGGAAAGTGATGACTGTTCAGTTTCTCATTTCTCATTGATGTGGAGATTTTTGTTCATTTGTAATGGGTATTAGGGGAGTGTTACTGCATTTGGTTCTGTTTTGAGGGGGGAAAAAAACTAAATTGAGGTATTTGAATTTTTTTTTTCTTGAAGTTTAAAACCAAAACAGAAGCAAATATGCTCAAACCCAGACCAAATTGAACCAAAACTTCATGTTTAGTTACTTGGTTTTTGGTTTTTGGTTTTTGGATTTTTGAAAGGGCCATTAAATTGGCAATGATTTTGTTGTGCTTACCTATTTGAATTAAGAAAACTAATGTTAAATTTTACATCATTTAAGTTCTGTTTTGTCATTGTTGATTTAATGTTAAATATAACCATACTGAATGGTTTATTTTCGAATCGAAATTCATTAGTACAATTAAATACCAAACTGGAGATCACAATTTGATTTGATTTTTGGTTTTCTTTTTCCTTTGCACAGTCCTATTCTCTATATATTTTTGAGGTTTCTGCTTCAAAAACTTTTTCAGGGTAGCAAGAAATTTAAGCGGTTAAAAAAGGCTCAAAGAGATTTTGATGAGGAGCGATTTGGTTCTGATGAGGAGTTTGATGGAAGCATTAAGGGTGGGGTAACTGCTGAGGAGAAGCTTAAGCGTACCTTATTTGGTGATGATGATGGTTAGCATATTGAGCATCTTGTCCATGATCATTATTATTTGGATTCAATTTTCAATAACTGGTTGATGCATGTAAATGGTTTAGGACAACCTCTTGAAGATATTCCTGAAGATGAAGTGCAAATTGATGAGGAAGAGGATGGAGATATGGGTGAAGAAGATGACATGGCAGACTTTATTGTAGATGAAGATGATTTAGATGAGCACGGAGCTTCTGTTAGGTATAATCTATGTAGGGCGTGAATGTGCTGGCTTTTTTTCATTTAATTTTGTGATATCTTTTCATTTAAAATAACTTGTTATGTAGACGGAAGAAGTTGAAGAAAAATAAGTCAAGGCAGGCACCAGGAGTTACATCATCTGCTTTACTGGAAGCTCAAGAAATATTTGGTGATGTTGATGAACTCCTTCAACTACGGAAACAGGGCTTAGATTCTAGTGAGTGGCGAGAAAGGAGACTTGAAGACCAATTTGAACCTACTGTTCTGTCTGAAAAGTATATGACAGAAAAGGATGACCAAATTCGGATGACTGATATACCAGAAAGAATGCAGGTTTGTTCACATGGCTCTTATAAATGTAAAATTCTTTTTTATTTCCTTGAGTTCTCTTAGCATCAGTGGAGATTGGCTTCACATTTCTTTTTTGTAGATTTCTGAAGAAAGCACTGGGACTCCTCCAATAGATGAAATGAGCATAATCGAAGAGAGCACCTGGATACAGCACCAACTTATAATTGGTGCTGTACCTTTATGTGGTAAAGAAGGGCAGGATCTCTCTATAAACAGGGAAGACATTATGAGATTTTTGGAGCTGACACATGTGCAGAAGTTAGATGTTAGTACTTACTGATTTGATTTATAATTGACTTATCTGTTGGTCTGGATTTTTATTTTTTTTTGCCTTGGTAATCTTCCATTCTTTCTTGCTTTCAGATTCCCTTTATTGCGACGTATCGCAAGGAGCAGTGCTTAAGTCTGCTAAAAGATCCTGAGCAACATGAGATTGATGATGTTGATCAGGATAACTCTGAGAAAACACCTGCAATAAAGTGGCACAGGGTAATTGGACTGGACATGGAACTATGAAATTTGTTGATTGTGTATATAATCAAGTTCAGAAGTTAGTACAATGGTTTTTTATGCAAATAACAGGTACTGTGCTTCTATTCAGGTACTTTGGGCAATTCAGGACCTGGACCGAAAATGGCTGCTTCTTCAAAAGCGAAAGACTGGTCTTCAGTCGCACTATAGTAAGCGATTTGAAGAAGAATCTCGTCGGGTATATGATGAGACAAGACTTAACTTAAACCAACAGCTTTTTGAGTCAATTCTTAAGGCTCTTAAGGATGCAGACTCGGAAAGGGAAGTTGATGATGTTGATGCCAAGTTTAACTTGCATTTCCCACCGGGGGAGGTTGGTGTGGATGAAGGTCAATATAAGAGGCCCAAGAGGAGATCACAATATAGTATTTGCAATAAGGCTGGCCTGTGGATGGTTGCGAGCAAGTTTGGATACAGTGCTGAGCAACTTGGATCACAGCTATCTCTGGAAAAGATGGTGAGTTTTCTTTGGCAGTTTCTGTTATATTGTACTGAGATCTAATGTTCTTCATTCATTTGATTGTAGAATGATGAGTTGGAAGATGCAAAGGAGACACCAGAAGAGATGGCTTCAAACTTTACATGTGCAATGTTTGAGACTCCACAAGCTGTCCTTAAAGGAGCCAGACATATGGTAGACATTGTTATTCTTATGAGCAAATACAGTGCCAGTGTTGGTCATAACATCTTGTTCTACCATATCTATTAATTTATGGTTTTCTTTTCATAGGCTGCAGTTGAGATAAGTTGTGAGCCATCTGTCAAGAAATGTGTCCGTGGAATCTATATGGAGAATGCTGTAGTATCAACCATTCCTACTCCTGATGGAAAGATAGCCATAGATTCTTTCCATCAGTTTGCAGGTGTGAAGTGGTTGCGTGAAAAACCATTGAGCAGATTTGATGATGCACAGTGGCTCCTTATTCAGAAGGCTGAAGAGGAGAAGCTTC